TTTGTATGTTCGGTTTTTTTTGTCTTTAGATAGCACTAATCTACAAAGTTTAATACTTTAACTAAAAACTGTTATATATATTATATATATATATCCAAAGTAACCACTGGTTTTTCAGAAGATGTACAATCTCCTTTGATTGTATCAAGGCCAATAAAGACTTAAAGTGCATAGAGTCAGATATTTCAGCTGTTATAAAGAGGTTATATGTTCAACATGGAGTTACGCAGTTCGCTTTAGATCTTTTAAGCTAAACGTCCCGTGTCTTAAATTAACAATCAGTATATTATAAACATAATTTAGTGCAGAGGTGAAGAAGTAGTCAGATATTGTACTTAAGTAAAAGCAGGAGTACCAGAGTGTAGGAATACTCTGTTACAAGTAAAAGTGCTGCAATCACAATGTTACTCAAGTAAAAGTACAAAAGTATTAGGATCCAAATATATGTAAAGTACCAAAAGTAAAAGTGGTCATTCTGCACATTGGTCCATTTCAGAATAATATATATTATATGTTTTGATTATAATTATTGATGCATTAAAGTGTTGTCAAAACTGGTAAAGGTGGAGCATGTTTCAATAACTGTGTATAATGCAGGGTAGCCTGTGAATATTACTCCAGGTGTAACTAAAGTCTTATTTAAGGTGTTGATTATATTTCACATCATTATTCAAAATCTGCAAAGTAACCATGGTATTAAATAGATTTTGTGGAGTAAAAGTACACGATTTACCTCTGAATTGAAGGGGAGTAGAAGTACAAAGTAGCAAAAAATGCAAATACTCAAGTACAAGTCTCTCAAAATGGTACTTAAGTCCAGTACTTGAGTAAATCTACTTAGTTACTTTGCACAACTGACTAAGTGCTTGTAATAAATGAAAGATGTTTGCACTGTGTCATTGCTGGTTGACTTACCACCTGACATGGTTGAGTACAAGCTGCGAACAGCCTGTAGTCCGCCTGCAGAAAACACAAAGCAGCAGACCTTAGCAAGATACACTCACAACAGATAGCTAGCAAACTGATAAACTATCATCAGAGACCTGGACGGTCATCTCTTAGATATAAACAACTTTCCGTTATGGTTTCTAAACACCTTTACGTGGCTAATATTACGTTTTAAATGAACTTTTTGTTACCTCACACGATCACACGATTTAACACGACCTTCACTTAACGTGTTATTCCTAGCCGTTAATAAACAACCAGGCTAACGTTAGTGTTTCGTCGGTTAGTTTACGTTACTTAGTGAAAAGCCGACGACAAGTAAAAAAAATCCAAATAAAATATATTAAAACATAACAATTCAGGCTAGCAAACTATTAATTAGCAAGAATCGAACTTTACCCGTGCTCGAGTAACGTTATGTGCGTGTTTTTGTTTTGACGTAAATCCCTTCTGTTTCCTCAAAAAACGTTTTAAAGGAGACACCACCCATTGTGACAGGCGCGGTTCAAAGGTCTCCTTAAACACTCAGGAACACACACAAGTGTTTTGTTAAGGTTTGTAAAACTTAAAATATTTCCCCTGAATGTAGTTGAGAAGCTTAAAAGTATAGGTAAAGTAAACTCATGTATGACCAATGGCCACATCCCACTTGTACTGTCGGCCTCTTTCCCCTTAATACACCAGTTTTAATAATGATATTAGCTGTAAAATGCATTGTTTACTTAAGTTGCTGTTATGACATTTAACCAACAGCCAGGCAGAAATTTAAAAAAAATGGGAACAGTGTTTGCTGACTCAGGGCTTTCAAGACTGAAGTCCAAGATTTGATTTAACCGTGTGTGTCACTTATGTACCAGAAACATGTCCCTCATACACATTTACTTTTGTGAAATGTTTGCATGGGCCTGGATAGTTAAAAAAAACTCACTGTCCATGTCCTTTCCAGGTTTTTTTCTGCCAAAGAATCGAGGGTCACTCTTGTCCATCTCCTTTTACTTCTTTGTGATAGGTAGTGACAGGAAAAATCTGGAGTCAACATATTGGGTAAATTCAGTGACAGTGACAATAATTTGCCTTTACAGCGCAAGGTCTGTCACAAGTAGCTACAACTGAAAATAGAGACCAACTTTCTATGGGATTACACCAGCCACAATGGCAAATTAAGCTAGGGCTATAAAGCCATTCAGCCCTTTTATAATTACAGTAACTCAATAATCTACATGCATATGTTTACGCCTTGGTTTAATATTTGTCTCTAGCTATGCCCTTTGCCCTCTTTCATACACTCTGAGTCAGTGCGTACTTCCTGATACTTGACTCTCTTTTTTCTTCGGCAATCTTTTTTCTTCGGCAAAAAGAGCAACCCCTGTTAAACCTATTGTCCTGAAATTCTTATATTTTTGGTTTGCAACTTCTCCTTCTATAACCTATGTGTTTTGCTCTTTACAGTTAGTTTTAATCTCAAGACCCAACTGAGTATCCCATTTTCAACCATAGTTAAGTTGTGCATTGCATTTCTTAGATCCCTATTACCAGGTTATGTAACAGGTCGAAAAAAAGCTTATCTCTATGTTGTTTCTTTTGCAAATAAAATATATATATTATAAAAGAAGTTAAGAGTCTTAAAATGTAAATGTAACAACTAAAGTCATTAATGCAAAGGACTCCAAGATTACCAATAATAAATAATCAAAGGTCATTATAAACAGCAGAATAGAGCGTACAGTTGTCTCAGTTAACAGAGATACTCACACAAGCAATCCAGAGATTGTGGGAAAAAAATAACAACAACAGAATAATGTCAGCTTTGATTAAGTCTAGAGAATATATTTTAAGAAGTCTCAGATAAGGGCGTCTTGTTGGATCCCAACAGAGCATGCTCCTCCTCCCGCCCACCACAGCACTGAGAAATGTCACTAGGTAATAATTGCCATGGGGATGGCAGAGCCTGGCGAAGCTGGGGGCGGTTTGACTGAGGTCCATCGTTGAGGTGTGAGGCCTGTCGTGCACCAGCATCTTCCAACAGGAATACAGCATTAAACTGAGTTTTTTTTAATCTATCTATCTATCTATCTATCTATCTATCTATCTATCTATCTATCTATCTATCTATCTATCTATCTATCTATCTATCTATCTATCTATCTGTCTGTCTGTCTATCTATCTATCTATCTATCTATCTATCTATCTATCTATCTATCTATCTATCTATCTATCGATCTATTGTTCTATTGTTCTATTGTTCTATTGTTCTATCTCTATCTATTGTTCTATCTATCTACTGTATCCATCTTTTCTCTCTGATTAAGGTCATACTCCTGGCTTTGGCCTTTTGAAGTTTAAATGTTACCTTAAGGTCAAAGTGTTTGAAAGTGTCGTATCCTCCCACCACACTCTTTGCAATGGAATATCAAAGCAAAGCAGAGAGATCAAGCCACACACACTGAGATGTTGAGCAAATTAAGCCATCTGTATTTGCAATCCCTTCAATTAATTTGTGGCAGTAGCAGCCCCATAACTTTGTTAAAATTATGAAAATGCAACCAAAATGTTTAACAAACATAGAAACTCTTTATTACAACAGCATCTCTCACTCACGTTTTAGCCATGTCTTCTTCTAAAACACAATCATATCATTGTAGTACAGTGGAATTAATTATTTTCTTTTTTATCACAGCATAAAAAACAATCTCTGAAAAAGTGAAAACCCTAACACAAACATTGAACATCATTCACAGTTTGGGATATTTAGACGTGATGAAAAGAGGATATCAAGCTGAACAAGCTTTTGATTTTGGATTGGTATTGTAACTCAAAATAAGATCTAAAAAACCCTGTATCCACATTACATAAGAAAGTCATTTCACTCAACATTTCCTCATATAGTTTATCATATCTATCCCTAACAGTTTGCTAAACAATACCATTTCATCGCATCCTAAAAAGTATGAGCCTCATTTCAGGAGCACATAACACCTGCTTTAACATCCTTGCAACATTATAACAAAGTGTTCAAGAGTCATACTTGACATGGAACTGCGCAAGACTTTAAAATAATGTTGAGTTTTCCTGCATTTGAGGTACTGTAAAAGCCCTGATCAGCAAACAAAATCTATATGTATTTCTCCTTCTGGGATAAAACATTTTTACACAGATGAAAAACTAACAAATAAAGGTCAAAACTGCATACGTGTAAAAGTAAATTAGCCTCCTTGTAACGAAATCCATAACAAATACTAACACTCACTAATTAAAGTAAACATGGGCATGCTCAGTTAAACACACAACCCAAACTTATACATGTTTATTAAACAGAACATACCATTTAGTAGCCTACATTTAACAAATGTAAGAAATAGAATCAAATTTGAGCGTAATGCAGTGCATCAAGAGAATACTGATTTTTAGGAGCTAAATCAAAATCAACTGGAAATACATCACATGGCATAAAGCTACGTGACACTCAAGATGAGTTATGAAGTCAACCTGCATCCTAAACTAAGTTGCAATAAATCGTCTTTTTAGTATATTAAAAAAAAGATGTGTTCGGTCAAGCACCTAAGAAAGGAGAACAAAATTGATGGTGATCTGTAAACAACTTGTAGCAATTCCATGAGGCCACAATATGGACGCTCCCATATAATCAGATTGGCATAAGGGTTAAGAGAGGCATTATCATTGATGAAAGCACAGCTACGAATCACAAGGGAAAACCGTGCCTTCCCTTCAATTAATCCCCAGAATACTTTTAAATGTGTGCATTTTATTGCTAGCTTCTTCGACATTACTTACTCAACAGTAATCAACCTACCAAAGACTCAAAAATGATTGATTTGGCAGGTACAAATACAGAATCAGTTTGTGTGGAGCCATTCATCTTATTTCCTGAATACTAAAGGCAATTCGTCGAACAGCAGAGCTTCACCGCACAAAAGCAAATTAGTTGATTGAGTGTAAGCCAATGAATTTCAGTAGGTGTTCCCTAACTTAAAATCAAAAGGGCCATTCTGAAAACATTTAACTCTGAAGACAATTTAGATACTTTCATAAAACAAAACATATAATTATTGTCAAAAAAGGCTTTCACAAATTAGTATTCATGAAAGTAATTTACTGTACAGAGCTTAGTTTGTGTGGAAGGCCATTTTTGTCATTTCCCTGTTCACAAACAACAGTTTGAAATGCTTCTCAAACAACTTCATTTTATTGTGACCGTTTAAAAATGTGATGAGGCCAAGTGTTTCAAAGATACAATTTAAAGTCATTTAAGTGAACTGAGTTACCTGTTTGACAGCTTGCAGTAGAGTCTCTTACTTTTTCACTCAAATGTAACTCCTGAAAAAGTTCATATCTGAATGATCAACAAGACATTAAAAACTCAATTGTCTGTATATATGTGGTTGTTTATCGCCTGTTCAGTCTCTATAAACTCTGAAGTCTCCTCTGCAATTTGTCCCGGGATACGGAAATCTATGGGTATGGGCCGTGCTGGCTCCGGGGGCTGGGCCTCAGCCGCGGGGCAGCAGGCCTCCCCTTTGGGGCTGGAGGTGCTGTGAGAGTTTTGTGGATCCAAGTTGCAGCCGGTGCCCTGAAGAAATTGAAGGAAATTCTCCTCTATGGATCCTTCCCTGCTGGGCAGTCTGTCCTCTATGTCTGCCCCTGCTCGACGGAACAGACAAGGCAGATGCTTTCCCAGCTCTTCCCTGATCTGTCTGTTGAGACAGCCATAGAAGAAGGGATTGGAGGTGAAGCAGAAGTAGCCAATCCAGGTGACCACCTCCTCCAGAGAGGCTAGTGTGGCTGGAGGGCTGGCAGCCACTGCTGAATACAGGTGGAAAGTAAAGTAGGGCAGCCAGCAACAAAGGAATTGCCCACCCACTGCTGCCAACACTGCTGCAGCCTTTCCTCCCCCAAAGGGACGTTGCGGAGTGGCTCTATCTGTCCCCGTGCCTGTCCCAGAGCTGGTAACCATTGTGGATCGGCTGCTGAGTGATTCTGAGCGCTGGCGACGAGGCGTGTCCATCCAGGTGGGAAGAGGCCCATGGTGCATGGCCGCTACCCGAGCCACTTTGAACATATTGCAGTACACAACAAGAATAACCACTAGTGGACACAGGAAATACACCAGAGTAAACAGGGCCATGAAGGCCAAGCGGTTCGACCCTCCCCCTGTCCAATGTAGTGAGCAGCGCCTGTGACCCTGAGCAGGAGGAGATGGAACTGCCCCACCTCCTCCTCCCCCAACCCCACTACTCTCCAGCAGAGGAGTTCTCCCACCTTGCAGGAACCAGGCGAGCAGCGGCAGAGCAGACATGGCCAGGGCTTTGACCCAAATCCCCACCAGCACTGACGCCACTAAGCCAATAGTCATCTTCACTTCATAGCGCATGGGGTGTATGATGTAGTAATAACGCTCCACATTGATGACGGATATGGAGAGGATGGCAGCACTAACCAGGCACACACTGAGAAAGAGGTAGCTCCGGCACAGGGCCTCTCCAAAGAAGGCTCGGCTTGAGAGCATGCCAAGGGGCATCAGCACCAGGGCTGCAAGCAGGTCCACCACGCACAGGTGGAAGACGAAGGCAAACTTGTGGAGCTGCGGGGCCTTAGCAATGACCGCCATGACAGCCACGTTACCCACCACAGCCAGCAGATCCATGAGCAGCATGGCCAGCAGGGCTAGCGACTGGGACAGAGCCCAGCCCTCAGGCAGATAGGAGGCAGACATGTTGGACGTGAACTGTGGAGGTGCGTGGGAGGAGTTCCACGTCGGCTCCATTGAAGGGTGGGATGAGGCAGGCAGGCAGGAGCAGTTACAGGCCCATCACCCATCCTTCACAGCCAGGAAGTACGGCCAGAGAACAGCGGCTTGAAAATCAGGTCGAAAGCTGCCTTCTTGCCCAGAGTAGGATGCTGTGATCTTCAGGAGGTCGGGTCAGGTTGTATGATTCCTTAATACGTTTTCATGTCTGCCCTCAGTGACAACCCCTCCTAAAAACAAGAGAGAGAGAAAATAACGGAAATTAGTGCGTGTTCACTGGAGTTTGCATATATATTCCTATAATGAGCAACCCCTTATGCACTTCTGGGTTATATGAACTAATCCTTCCAATCAGTAGCTCGTGCTGAGTTTCACTTGTGCTGCAGCTACCATTAGGATTAATACACTCACATGATAAAATCCTCTTTAGCTTCTCAAATCTCTGTTAAGGCAATCTTACTGATAAGGTAATCCAAAGTCCGCCCTTAAACCAATTAACTCAATTAAGTAGCCTTTGCATTATTCAATGTAGGGACACTTGGTGCCCTTTTAGAAAAAAACTGAAGGAGTTAAATTATTCAAACTATCATAAATCATCACACAAAATAGTTAAGCCACATAAGATTAATGTTTATACATTTGCAGCAAAATCACATGTCTAAAACAATTGAGTGACTCTGATCCTCCAGGAAAAACAAATATAAAGTATTTTTGACAACCTTCTTTACCTTCCTGTTAATATTACAATAAAAAGGACAAAGATAAATCCAGTCGGCTCCTTTGCTGAAGGGCTGCAGGTGATCAATACTTTTCAAGCACTCATCCTTACAATGCACAAATGCATGCTAAATCCCCAGTCCTAACAACACTGCCCTATTCCATCATACATATGACTGCTTTGAGAGCTGTTGTTGAAAATGTATACCCAAGGTCTAAAATGATTGTGCATAGCTAAAAATACTTCACATATTAATGTCCCTTATGGTTAGAGATTCAATCATTCTGCTTGTGTACATGCACTACAATAGCATGTCTCACACTAAAGAACGCCTGGCCACCAAGTCGTTTTTCAATTCAAAAACTTGTGGGTATTCATAGGTTGCAGAGGCTGTCTGCATATTAACTATGCCTGGCTATTACAGACAACAAACAGACATTGGTTGCTGCTGTAAGTATGTGTCAGATCAAGGAAATCCAGTGGCTTACTGATATGAATGCTCTCTGTCACAGATGTAACAAAAGCCTGGGATGTTCTGCCTTTTATCTGCTCTGATCACAGTACGAAAAAGGCAAGAAATGTAGCTCTGAACCCGTTCATCACCTATTAACGATTGCCCTCAGTGAGCAAAATGTCTAAATCACACATAGGGGTACTCCCAATTCAGTTTAACCCTCCTGCCTGGTTTAGTCATGTCTTACCGCCTACACATTTATATATTAATCATTAATGCATTACACCCACTGTATAAAGCAAGGCCCACATTCTATATATTTTCATATCACAAATTACATTTATCATTGCACTCAGCAATATGTAATAGGCAGATAAGAAGAAGAGGGGGAGAGCAAGCAAGAAAATGTGAGAATCAGGGAGCGTGAGGGGAGGAAACAGAGAGAGAGCATCATGTACCTGAATCAGAGTATTTCCTGATGCATCTGTCTGCTGCTTTTGGTCTCTGAGGATGAAAACCTGGTGTAGCTCCCACTGCTGAGGTGCACAGTGGACATCAATCACTGCACCTTGTGAATGCTGTTGAGGCAGTTCCCTCCATAGCAGCCTGCTTCTCTTCCCATCCCTTGATCTGTCTCATGCATCCTCCTCCCTGGGTGCCTTGAGCTGTGGCAGCAGAGGTTTTTCTAAAACGATGCTGATGTAAATGCATGCAAAGACGCCAGCTCACTCTCTGCTTCCCCCCTCCACTCACACACAGTGACTGCAGAGATGGAGCAGGAGGCAGCAATAAACAGGACCAGAGCTGCCGTTTCCACATGGTCCTAGTGTCCTCACCGCAATTTTAAAATGATTCAGAGATTAAGAACTAAATATGATGTTAGGGAAATGTCATGTTGTTGCTGTAGTTTTTGTTTCTGTATGTATTAGCATTGAAAGCTAAGTCTAACATATCTAAAAAACTATATGAATATATGTGTTACATTTTATCTCTCAACTATGCCATTTCGTTTTGACATTCATCAAAATATGGATCCTACATCGTTGTTTACATATCTCTTCTCACGTGAATGCTTTTTAGCCAATCATTCTTGGTGTGGCTATGATGGTGGTGATCATGACTGTCAAGCATGTTATTGGTTTTGTCAGCTTCATTAAGAAAAAACAGGGCATTTAAAAAATAATTTCAACAACTTGTTTTGTACAAATGTGCGGCTATTTGTTCTTGTGGTTTAATCATGCGTACGATAATTTTTCTAAACTAACGAGGATTTCGGTATGATAGTTAAAGTGGACATGTTATGAAAAACTCAATGTAACAGGTTGTAAAAAAAATTATTTCTGTTGTCAAGTTGGGCATTTTATGGCTCTCTTTTGGAGACAGCCTCAAGTGGCCATTCAAAGAGCTGTAGGGTTTGGCATTTCCGATTCCCTGTTCAGCCCCTAAGTTGCCTCTTGGATTCAACAAGACATTTAAATGTGTCTCCCTTTCCTGTCACGTTCAGGCTCATTAGAAAAAACTGCCCCCGCCTTACTCTCAACACCAACAGCTTGAGAACTGTCTTTGCATTTTTTCTGGCAAGCCTATCAGTAGAGTGAAATTCTTCTTAGGGAGGCTCAAAGAGACAGCCGCCCAAACGGAGCATTTCAAACGTTGGGCGGTGGATACAGTTATATTCATACTGACAATTTAAGAAAAAACTTCTACAACTTTTTTTTAAAGCAAATAACATGTTCTTGTAAAAACCCAAATTTCAATTATGAACTTCAAATGAGCATGATATATATCCCCTTTAACATTTACAATCCGTACGACGCTGGAAACCTTTTGAAACAAAGACCAAATTCTTGCTAGCTTTAGCTGTATAGTAAATCTAGTATGTCATAGTCAGACACACAATGCTGACTGTATCACTCAATTCCCTATCCGCATGCAAGAATGCCTCCATGCCAACTGTAGGCCTATACATGTTACAAACCAAACCTTCACATCATCATACAGCATAAGCATACAGTACAATTGTTATGCCAGCAAGCTTACTATAGATGTTAATGTTAGCAGGTTAGCGGGTTAGCATGCTGATGAGACACTTCCAGAGCTGTTACCAGGCAGTTAGCATGGTAGCTTGCGAATTTTACCTCTAGCTTTAAACACAGCTGCTGACCCTAAGTACACCGGAATCGGAAACAATCTAACAATACGGAGATAAGCCTATCACTCTACAGAGGATATTTGATGGGGGTAAAAATATGCATGTTAAATATAATAAAACCAGGAATCTAGAAAGAGAAGTGTTCAACCAAGAAATGAATGATTATGTGTATTTGTATTCTTGTTTTATATATCGCAGAGGGTAAATGCATAACCAACCACCAACTGACTTTACTCATAAATATGTGCACAATGCTTGATAGCTAGCCCTCATATGTAATCCTGTATTTCTTGCTTCTCACCCAATGTATTTATTTGTGTCTGTCAGTAATGATTCAGGCAGTGATTTTGTGTATTTGAGTGCCGGGTTTAGTGACACAGGGAGGCATTGATTAGGCCTCAGCCTGCACCATCCCATCTTCTCAAACTGGGGCTCTTGTTGCCACGGTGATCTTTTTCATATACAGTCCATCTCATTGCTCTGTCAGCGGAGGACAATGAAATCTGGCCTATTATGGGTAAGGCTAGTCTTCTGAAGGCGCAAGCATGGAGCTTCTAAGTCCAGGTGTTTTTCATTTGCATTTGTATGGTTAATGATAACACACATAACATTTGCATTTCATGGAAATCACATTTCACCATTAAAAACATGGTTTAATTTGCACAATCTCTCAGGATTAATTTGATTAACGCAGTTCTCTAACGGAGTCATTATATAAACGCCACTGGATAAGTGAGACTCTGGTCTAATGGTTTCAATAGTATACACTTTGTTGCTTTTCATCCACAAATCAGTGAACTTATTGCATCAGGATCATTGACTATGAACAATGGTGAAACGCACATGTTACTTGTATTGCAAACTAGAGTATATAAAAACAGTGGTGTTTAAGTTTTATTTAAACACAACACTACATATTGGAGCAAAATTGATAATAGATGCATGTAACACAAAATGATCTTGTTCCACGGTAAGTAAAAGAGGAAAATCCTATTCAGCAGTCAGCCTGGGGAAATTACCTGGCGTTTTTCACTATGAATAGCTGAATGATTAATTGAACAAGAAATCTTTAGATTAGTCTATAATTGTATTGGAATTATGATGTTGATTGCAACCATCATACTTATGACTTTGCTTCTCTTCACAATTTTTTCAGAATATGTATAAATTGCTTTTTTGTCTCTATCATAGACTCTCAAATATCATCCATCCATACATCACAGAAATAGACAGAAATATCACATCACACTATTTAAAATGTCAAGCCTTTTGTAACCTATGAGCTCTTAGAAAACTTGACTGATTAGAAGCTTACGTCTCTTCCTCACACTGCTTCAAACATGCCTGGACAGCAGGACACATGAAACACGTTTCAGTTGTGTGCAGAGATTTGATAGACAGCGATTACTATTGCTGTCATGGTGAAGATGTATCAAGATGTCTGGCAACACTGAGGAGAGATGTGAAACAAACACATGCTCAAAGAGCATATATCACTAAAACAACAATACAAGTGTGTGTGTGTGTGTGTGTGTGTGTGTGTGTGTGTGTGTGTGTGTGTGTGTGTGTGTGTGTGTGTGTGTGTGTGAGTGTGTGTGTGTGTGTGTGTGTGTGTGTGTGTTTGTGTGTGTGTGTGTGTGTTTAAATGGGTGTGTTTAAATGGGTGTGTGTGTTTAAATGTGTGTGTATCAGGT